CAGGCTGGCCTCGAACTCACAGAGATCCGCCTGGCTCTGCCTCCCGAGTGCTGGGATTAAAGGCGTGCGCCACCACCGCCCGGCCCTCATCAACATTTCTTGAACTGTGTTTATTTATTTAGTGTATGTATACATGGGGGTACATATGCCATGGAAGACAACTTACAGGAGTCAGCTTTGAGGGATCAAACTTAGGTCATCAGGCTTTTCCTAAGCTTCCTGTGCCTAGCTCCAAATGCCTTTTCAGGAAATTGAGGCATGGATGTGCCCAGTAGATGTGACTCAGCAGACTCATCTTGGTTGTCCTTGTAGATGTGGTGGTGCTTGGCATTTCAAGTGGGACACTACCTAATGGCTTACATTAGCAGTTCTACTCCACGCCTGGTACCAGCTATCTCAATTCTCAGAGCAGCCCAATGAGGTCTCTAATATGGTCCCCATTTCAAAGATAGTGTACCAAGGCCCAGAAATAACGCAACTTCTCCCAAATAAAACAGAAGGGTTTGTATTGTATTTTATACTTAGATTAATCTGGTTCTTTGTGTGTGTGCACTGCTATACATGTGTATAGTTGCATGTGCATAGGGAAGCCAGAATTCAACCTTGATTGTGGTTCCTCACCAGCCAGCCATCTTGATTTTTTGCAAGAAAGAGTTTTTCTCACTGATCCATGGCTCACCAATTAGTCAGTGCTGGCTGGTCAGCGAATCTCTGGGATCTACCTTTCTCTACCTCCCCAGGACTGGGATTAGAGAAACAAACTGCCATTCCCAGCTTTTTATGTGGGTCCTGGAGCTCAAACTCAGGTCTCCACATGTGCATGGCAAGCACTTTACAAAGGAAGCCACCTGCCCAGACCTCAGGTTAACCTGTGTGCACATCAACTCCCTGCTGACTTGCGGTGACCTCCTGCTGCTTCCCATTGAGCCTTTGTTATTTTCTCAACAGACTGGACAAAATGAAACCGGGAGGCTTCTGGCCACATCTTGCCCTCCTCGGGGTCTCCCTGCCAGCCGTGCTGGGATGGATGGACCATGGAGCCAGCAGAAGCCCGAATGTGGTTCTGGGAGAGTCACAGGCAGAGGTATGGTCTGGTAACTACTGACATGACATTTCATACAGGTTGCTTTTCAGTGTTCCAGTGTCTGGTTTCTCTTCCACTTTTAGATCAGTTATACCACTGTGTCAATTCAAATTGCACCCAGTTTTTGGTAGGGGACAGGAGGAGGCAGCAGGCACTGTCCCAGGTGGGCCATGGTTCCGGGTTCCTCTCAACAAAAGCACACCCCTAAACTGTGCTTCTCACTGCACATTTGTCCTTCCCCAGAGACCCTTCTTAGAACTGGCTTGTCTGTGTATTTAATTCCACAGATTCAGACCAACTGGTGGGGCACACCCATGTGAACTTATGAAGGATTTGAATGACAAAATATGTCTTAAAGGAAACAGACCACTCTTAGGATATATAGCTAAAAAAGAACTGAGCTGAGAAAGAATTGGCGAGCTGAGGTCCTGAGGGAGACAGCTTTAATGAACAGATAAGAATGATTAATGGCATGCTAGGTGTATATAAATACTTCTAAAGAGCCCGGAAAACTTACTCTCAGAAACCTCCCCCGAGGGCCTGGATGTACCACTAATTGCTTAGTGATCTCTAGTCTCAAGTGTCCCAGGCACAAGTCCCACTCAAGGTAGCAGGCTCAGTGAATTTGGGGTGGCCTCATGAATTGAAGGTGCACATGGAATGCAGGTTATCTTCAGAAAATGCATTGTGTAGGTGCTGAACTTTGAAAAGTGAGTACCCGCTTCATTTAAACCACCTGGGATTTTCCTCTTCGCCTTGAGGAGCTGAGTCCTTATCAGGGTTCTCCCAGGCATCCCCACTTCCATTGTCTTACACTGATACATCCTTTTCTCTGTATCTGTGTGTCTGTTCCTGGGGAAGGAGAAGTCAAAATTACCGAAAAAAGTCAACATACCCCAAGAGCGGATAAGGGACACACACAGTGTGTGTTAGGATTAACGCATTATTTGATCAAATGGCACAGCGTTCTCTTTCATTATTACTTAATTGTCATGCAATCCCAAACCTGCAAGCCTTACTCTTCGGGGAGTTTCAGAAGGAATTTAATGCACACTTCTCCTGCTGAAGTTGGTGCGGTGTGCCTTTGTCTCAGGTCGATGATTAAGTAGAAACACTATCGCTCCTGTCTAAATCTATGAAGGACAGAACTTAATGTCGCTTGGAAAGCGTCTAATGGCGGCTGCGACTGGGCTGGTGAGAGCTACATTTCCCATGTGGAAAGGGCTTCATTTTTATACTCACATCCCAAGGGGAAACCATCACTTAAGTCCTATAGATCCATCCTTGAATATTTAATAGGAAAGCAAACAGGCCTTACAGGTAGCTTACTCTTCTGAAGGTGGGGGGCTCCTTGGCCCTCTTCAGTGCACCACTTATTTCAATTACGAGGCAAGCTAATTAAAGTGGGATTTAGGTAGTGGTAAATGGGAGGCAAGTTAGCATCACCCAGAATCTCCTATGTGAGCACTTAACACCTCAGCTTTGTGTAACAACAGGAGAGGTAGGTTTCTCTTTGTTTGGGGTTGTCTGCCCCATATTCTCCCCAGCCCCAGCTGTGTCTCCCAAGTCCGAGAATGTCACTTCGGGAAGGAGGCAGTCTCCTGGAGGCAGGTGCGGCTGGCCTGTGGGCACACCTCTCAGCTGTAGCTCTATTTTCTGCTGTGCTTGAACTCCCTGAGCCTGCCCCTCGCTCTGGTGAATGAGGTGGTCATGCTGTGAATGGGCGAGTCCATGGGAGTCGAGGGTGGCTTTGGTCAGGGGTTAGCTAGCAGGAGCAGGCCATTCACTGCAGTGGAGGTGCTTGCTGACTTTGGTCATGTTCTGAATGCCTCTCAACCTCTGGGGTGTGTGTGTGTGTGTGTGTGTGTGTGTGTGTGTGTGTGTGTCCGTGTCCCTGTTAATATAGCATGCAGAGGCAAGTGTAAGACACCCTCCTTGATGACTCTCTGCATTATTCCCTTGAGACAGGGTCTCTCACTGAGCCTGGAGACAGTAGTTTTTCAACTGAGCTGGCTGGCCAGCAAGCCCCAGGTATTCTCAGGCCTGCATGGCAAGTGTTCTTTCCTACTCAGTCATCGCCTAGCCCAGCAGTTCTCAATCTGTGGGTCACAACCCCTTTGGGAGTGTTAAATGGCCCGTTCACAGCAGTCGCCTAAGGCCATCGGAAAATGCAGATGTTTGCATTACTATTCCTAACAGTAGCAAAATGACAGTTATGAAGAAGCAACAAAAATAATTTTATGGTTGGGGGTCACCGCAACATGAGGAACTGTATTAAAGGGTGGTAGCCTTGGGAAGGTTGAGAACCACTGCTCTAACCTAAGCTCTTGTTCTTACTCCTTCTCTAGAACCTTCTTAGACCACTACTAATCACATATGGGCTTGCACTTTGAATACTTAAGTTTTTAAAAGAAAGATTGATTTGCCTATTTTTTTTTATTTGTGTGTGAGTTGGGGGCTGGTGGTGAGGGAGTTTTTGTGTACCACACTCAAGCTAACCTACAGAGGCCAGAGGGTATCAGCTCACCTGGAGCTGGAGTTGCAGGTGGTTGTAAGTCACTGGATGTGGGTGCTGGAAACTGACCCTAGGTATGGTGGTTTGAATAGGTATGGCCCCCACAGACTCAAGTGTTTGAATGCTTGGCCCATAGGGAGTGGCACTATTAGGAGGTGAGGCCTTATTGCAATAGATATGGCCTTGTTGAAGTGTGTCAATGTGGGAGTGGGCTTTGACGTCTCATATGCTCAAGCGATGCCCAGTGTGGTACACAGTCTCCTTCTGCTGCCTGCAGAACAAGATATAGAACTCTCAGCTCCTTCTCCAGAACCATGTCTGCCTGCATACTGCCATGTTTCCTGCCATGACAATAATAGACTGAACCTCTGACACTGTAAGCCAGCTCCAATTAAATGTTTTCCTTTATAAGAGTTGCCATGGTCGTGGTGTCTCTTCACAGCAATAGAAACCCTAACCAAGATACCAGGTCCTCTTCAAGAGCAGCCAGTGCTCTTAACCATTGAGCCGTCTCTCGCGCCCCTTATTGGTCCTTCTTATCTTTTTTCCTTACTTAGATACTTTGATTTTGCATCTAGATGAAGTTGATCTTGTTTATCTTTCTCTTCCTTTCAGTGTCTTACTAATTTTATGAGTAAAAAGGAGGCTGAGTTTTTTTTTTAAGTCAATCAAAACTTGATGCAAAATCCAATATCCATCATAGATCACCTTGGGTCTTCCAAAATTCAAACGAGACCACCGGGTGGTGGCCTTTCTACCCTCAGACAGGTCCATGTATGGCGGACAGTGACCGGTGTCCCCTGCTAGCTGGGAGCAGCTTGTGGCCCACCTGAGCTTGCACCTTACTGACTGACAAGATCACCCTTGAGGATCATGGCTTCTGGATCAAAGTTTCTCCTTTGAACTGTAGCTAATCATATATTCATAACCCACTGTCCAAGCTGCACTGAAGTCTTTTAGAGTTTTCCTCAGCTAGTCTTATTTCTGGGAAGGATCCAAACCAATAGAGTTTCCTGAGACTCTAAAATAAGTAAAAATCAAAACATTTTTTTCTGTATATGTTCTCTCTCTCTCTCTCTCTCTCTCTCTCTCTCTCTCTCTCTCTCTCTCTCTCTCTCTC